ACCCATGCAATCCGATTCTAAAAAAATAAAAAAAAAAAAAACCGCCAAAACGTATGGCTCAAATTGCACCGCACAGAACTCGCATGAGATTTGCACAGGAATGCAGTGAGGTTCCTGTGTGAACAACATGCGATGTTCCACACCACAGAAGTGTGAACCCAGGCTTAGGCTAAATTATCTACGGACTCATAGACCTGAAACAAACACACTCACAGCCAGTGAAGTATGAAAAGTCTAAGCTCCCGTTCTGCATACTTGTTCAAATGAATGCTCAATTCTAAACAAAGAATGTTCATTTCCATCAGTAAGCCAGAACCTGTCAAGTTTATAATGTTTTTATTCCCACTGGGGAGGTCCCCCTCCCTGCCTGTTTTCTAAACAGGTGTCACTTCTTACCCCCCCCCCCCCCCCCCCCCCACCTTCCCTTTTGTTGTTTTTTTCCTCCTATCAAACAGATATCCCATCCCTTCCTGTTCTTGGTACCCCTCATAACCACTACAGCAGCCATCTGGGACCATTTATTTGTATCCATGTTTAGTAACAAGAACTCTGCAACATCATCCTCCCTCCAGACAAGTGGAAGCATTTCATTTTCTATGACAGCCAGTAGTACTGTTAGTATGCTTTCATTTTCTTTATACATCTAGATCAGGGGTCCTCAAACTTTTTAAACAGGGGGCCAGTTCATTGATCTTCACACTGTTGGGGGGCCGGACTAAAGTTTGAAAAAAGTATGAACAAATACCTATGCACATATCTTGAATTGTAGTGCAAAAAAAAAGTACAATATTTAAAATGCACTGTACACTTAACGCATTGGAAACTGCAATGCACTGTATACTAACGCACTGGAAACCACTGTACACTGTGCCTGGTGTGCTCTCCTCCAGCTGCAGCGGGTGAAATCAGGGGCTTCCAGGCTGCCGCTCGCTGGGTCTTCGCAGCTGAGGACCCAGCGAGCAGTCTAGCTATTTGCTGACCGGTGCTGTGTGTTTTTTTTTTCTATTACCCGGCCTGGCAGGCCGGGTAAATATCTTTGCCAGGCTGTATCTGGCCCGCGGGCCGTAGTTTGAGGACCCCTGATCTAGATGAACATATTAACAATTTTTTAAGTTAGGTACATTATCAGCAGGCCTTTACCCTGCACTTTGGGATTTCTTGCTTAGGCAAGGTTGACACTGTACCCCAAGCCTCCTAAAGTCATACATCCCAGGGGGATCAATATCTGCTGCACTGCACATGCGCTGTCACATCAAAAGGCTGTCTCAAGGACCCTGGAAAAGGCAGTCAGGCTCCCGATGACATGAGGAGATAAGAGGGCAGCACACAGTGCCAAGATTGAATAGCAGCTTAAACTGGGCACACACTGTCTGCTGGATATACAGCTGTACACATTGACAGAGAGTCGGCTTGTTCCTGCTGAACGGAATGATTTTCAGCCAGTGTGTTCCCAGCTTACATCAAATAACATTGCGTTTGATGACAACTCAGCTGTCAAGGTAACAGGAAAAAAAAAAATAAAGAAGGGGGAAGTGAAGTTCCCTTTTAATATAGACTACCTGGCCTCACCTTCATACCATCAGCATATCTGTACTGCATACTGTCATAACAGGTTATAAATTGCAAATTGCACTACCTGGCTTTTTTAATGCATATACACTCAATAACTTTGTTCATATTTTACTATTCATCTATGCATGCAATGTTTATGGAATGGTTTCAAACTCCAAAAATATATAGGCAGGTTTGCGCATACCATTATACACATGCCTCTAGTCTCACCCGACACATGACCTTTACTATTCCTGCTGGATTGTACTTTAAGCAGAGCTTCACTCAAAAGAGGGAGTCCTGCTTTAAGGCCTCCGCCCCAGTGTCTGTTTATGAAATGGCACATTTTTTTTATTTTTTTTTTTTGGGGGGGGGGGGGGGGTTAGCGGGTACATAACTTTGACATGCACCCTCCCCTCGCCCCAATCTTCAGGGACATGTCAAAGAGGACTGTGGGACCATTCACAATGTGCAGCGTGGCCCAACACATGCGCAGTGGGCACACAGCTGTGAAGCCGCAAGCTGTCACAGCACAGTGCCCATCGTTAAGATGCTGGCACCGGGGACAGAAGATGGGAGGTGAATTTGGCTGGGGTGAGCACAGCACTAAATCATGGGCATATGAGTAGCGGTTTATCAAGTCAGAGGCTGCAGTTTTTGTAGCTGCTGACTTATTTACACTGGAGACTGGAGCTCCTCTTTAAAGCAGAGTTCCACCCAAAAGTGGAAGCTCCACCAATCTGCCTCCTCCCTCCTCCGCTGGCACATTTAGCACCTTTTGGAGGGGGAGGGTGGAGCAGGTACCTAGTTTTTTGCCCCTCCCCCCTGCAGCCTTCTGGGACACTTAACAGGACCCAGAAGTCTGTGGCCCATTCAAAAAGCACAGCGTGCTTCGCGCATGCATAGCAGGAGACCAGTTGTGAAGCCGAAAGGCATCACTGCCGGTTTCCTTTAGTCAAGATGGCGTTGACGGCACCGAATGAAGAATCGGCTTGGGGTGAGCAGGACACTGCTGGATCCCTGGACAGGTAAGTACCCTAATATTGTCAGCAGCTACAGTAATTATAGTTGGACTTAACTTTTTTTTTTTTTTGGGGGGGGGGGGGGGGGAAGAACTCCACTTTAAATAAAAAAAACAAAAATGTAATAATTTGCAGCGTACCAAGAAGTGTGGCTGCATCTATTTTTTTTTTGCTTTTTGCTTTTTCCCCTCTGTTTTCACCTGGTGACATGACCAGTAACACACCTCGTGTATTGGGGTGCCTGCACTCCAGATGAAGGTGAAACAGAGGCACCTTTGGACATCAGCATTGTCAGTCTGGGAGAATGTACTGTTAGATATACTAGCAGATTTAGATACAACAAACCAGCCAAACTCCAGCTAACACTTTTTAGGCAGTTACAGCAAACAGTGTATTTTCTTTTGGGATAAAGGTTTTACATGAATAAATAAAAGCTGACTTTGTAAACACCTGTCAGTGGTAAAATGGTTTGTCTCAACACTAAGCCTAGGTTCACACTATGAACAGCAAGTGAATCACACCGCATTCCTGTGCAATTCACATTAGATTCAGTGCAGTGCAATTTGAGCCCATTCATTTTGAATAGGCTCAAATCGCACCAAAGAAGTGCAGCCACCTTTTTTGGAGCCGCACAGCAACCACATCACGTGGTTGTTTGTAGCATGTGATCCGGTGCAGGCAAACCGCACTGTGATGTTGAGGTGTTTGGGGTGTCATTAACTTTGTATTGACACCCGCAATGTATAGCAAACAGTGTGTGTACAAAGCAGTGCTGGAAAAGCACAGGTTCCTTGTGTTCACTGCAATGTGTTTGTGTAAACCAGAGCTAACTGCTACATCTGCAGAACAGCTTGTTCTGCTTAATAAACTACAGACATACTTGCAAGATCAGCAGGTGAAAAAAAAAGACTAAAAATGAAAACCAATGCAGCCATCTTATCTACGAATTGGTAATGAATATTTGCTTTTGGGATAAATACCAATTTAAAGTGTTTGTTTCCCTGCACATGGACAGTGCGCTCTCCCTCCTACTGTCGCAACACTGGCCGAGTTTAGCACTGTGTCAGATTGTGAACAACGTAGAATGCTTGTTCCTGCTTTGGAGGTTTAGGCTCCACGCACACTAACGTTTTTTAAGCTCCTAGAAGCTATTATCAGCATATTTTCTTCTTCTCCTAGAAGCTACATAGTGTTATCCAATGTGTCCATGTACAATACTTTAGGATATTAGCATTTTTGAGCTTCAGTGATTAGGAGCAGAAAAAAAAAATTTTTTTTGGAGCATTTTTCCAGCAAAAAAAACCCCCAAAAAAAAAAAAAACCAGAAGGCTCAATGCACACTAGTGGTATTTTAAGCTAAAAAAAAATGCTAGACATAAAATGCTGGTAATAGCGTTTAGTAGCCGTTTGGGAGTTTTAAAATGGTTGTATAGGCTTAAGGTTTTTTACCTTCATGCATTCTATGAATGAAAGTAAAAAAAACTTCTGTGTGCAGTATCTCCCCGAGTCCCCCTAATACTCACCTAAGCCCCCTCTCGATCCAACTATGTGCACTGGAGTCTGGGCTATCCCAGGACTCCCTCTTCTCATTGTCAATCATAGCAAGTGAGCCAATGAGAAAAGGGAGGGAGGGGCTGAACTGTGACTGTGTGTGTGAATGGACACAAGGAGCAGCAGGTGCCCCCATAGCAAGCCGCTTGCTGTAGGGGCACCCAACAGACAGGAGGAGCCAGGAGAGCCTGCGAGGTCCTCGAGAACAGGAGTATCCAGGCTGCTCTATGCAAAACCACTACACAGAGCAGGGAAGTATGACATGTTTGTTATTTAAAAAAAAAAAAAAAAAGCCAGAAAAATATTTTTTCTGCTTCTAGATGCTGAAGCTCACAAAACACTAACAGCTTAAAGTAGTGTGCATGGACACATAGAATACACACCATTTAGCTTCTAGGAGCAGAAAAAAATGATGCTAATAGCTTCTAGGAGCTTAAAAAAATGACTCCAACCTGCAGGGGGGCCATTTATTTAATTTCCTCTTGAGACTTTACTACCACTTTAAGGAAACTTTTTTTTTTCTCAATTCATCCGGAGGGTTGAAAAAGAAAAATAAAGTTATGCATGGCTTACCTACATTGTCTTTATCTTCAATATATAGTAGGTTAATAGGACTAGTAGTTTACAGAACATACATAAGGTTTTCTGTGCATTCTGTAAAGTGGTTGTAAACCTCAGACATGAAATATGAACAAAGCATATCCCTCTACAGCAGCGGTTCTCAACCTGGGGGTCGAACGACCCTTTCACATATTTCCGATGGTCTTAGAAACCGAGACACCGCCCCTCTATCCATCTCCAGGCAGGTCCACCCACATGCAGATACGCCCACATTTCCCTGGACTGCGATGTGTGGGCAGGATGACATGCCGCCCGTCATCTGGCCACACCCCGGGATCACTCAACAGCTCTGCCTCCTCACCGGTGATTGGCCACGGGAACTGTAGCTCAGGAGAGGTACACAGGTGGCCAATCACCGGCGAGGAGGTGGAGCTTGGAGAAGCGAATGAAGAGAAGGAAGACAGCTGACCAGTAAGTGTCTGTACTGTGCAGATGGTGCTTCTGCAGCCAGGTATGCGGACTGTAGATGGGAGAGGGAGGGTGCGTGAGCCACCAGGGTATGCGGACTGTATGCGGACTGTAGAGGGGAGGGAGCGAGCCCAGGCTGGAGCAGGGGTCAGCAAAGTATCATTGGTGTCAGTGGGAGGAATAGTGCCCCATCATTGGTGTCACTAATACCAATGATGAGGCACTATTCCTCCCCCCACTGACACCAACGATGGGGCACTATTCTCCCCCCCCCCCCACTGACACCAACGATGGGGCACTATTCTCTCCCCCCCCCCACTGACACCAACGATGGGGCACTATTCTCTCCCCCCCCCCACTGACACCAACGATGGGCACTATTCTCTCCCCCCCCCACTGACACCAACGATGGGGCACTATTTCTCCCCCCCCCCCCCCACTGACACCAACGATGGGGCACTATTCTCTCCCCCCCCCCACTGACACCAACGATGGGGCACTATTCTCCCCCCCCCCCCCCCCCCCCACTGACACCAACGATGGGGCACTATTCTCTCCCCCCCCCACTGACACCAACCATGGGGCCCTATTCTCTCCCCCCCCACCCACTCGACACCAACGATGGGGCCCTATTCCCCCCCCCCCCTCCCGACACCAACGATGGGGCACTATTCCCCCCCCCCCACTGACGCCAACGATGGGGCACAATTCCTCCCCCCACTGACGCCAACGATGGGGCACAATTCCTCCCCCCACTGACGCCAACGATGGGGCACAATTCCTCCCCCCACTGACGCCAACGATGGGGCACAATTCCTCCCCCCACTGACGCCAACGATGGGGCACAATTCCTCCCCCCACTGACGCCAACGATGGGGCACAATTCCTCCCCCCACTGACGCCAACGATGGGGCACAATTCCTCCCCCCACTGACGCCAACGATGGGGCACAATTCCTCCCCCCACTGACGCCAACGATGGGGCACAATTCCTCCCCCCACTGACGCCAACGACGATGGGGCACAATTCCTCCCCCCACTGACGCCAACGATGGGGCACAATTCCTCCCCCCACTGACGCCAACGATGGGGCACAATTCCTCCCCCCACTGACGCCAACGATGGGGCACAATTCCTCCCCCCACTGACGCCAACGATGGGGCACAATTCCTCCCCCCACTGACGCCAACGATGGGGCACAATTCCTCCCCCCACTGACGCCAACGATGGGGCACAATTCCTCCCCCCACTGACGCCAACGATGGGGCACAATTCCTCCCCCCACTGAGGCCAACGATGGGGCACAATTCCTCCCCCCCCCCCACTGAGGCCAACGATGGGGCACAATTCCTCCCCCCACTGACGCCAACGATGGGGCACAATTCCTCCCCCCCACTGACGCCAACGATGGGGCACAATTCCTCCCCCCACTGACGCCAACGATGGGGCACAATTCCTCCCCCCCCGGCTGACACCAACGATGGGGCACAATTCCCCCCCCCCCACTGACACCAACGATGGGGCACAATTTCCCCTCCCCCCCCCACTGACACCAATGATGGGGCACTATTCCTCCCACAGACACCAACGATGGGACACTATTCCTCCCACTGACATCAGTGATGTGGCACTACTCTTCCCGCTGCAAAATTACAGTTATGAAGTAGCAACGAAAATAATTTTATGGTTGGGGGGCAGGGGCGGACTGAAAACTCATGGGGCCCCCGGGCAATAGGAGATCATGGGGCCCGTGTCCTTGCCCACATTCAAACCACACCAAAAAAGCCTATGAAAGGTACCAGGGGCATCTCATAGGGCCCCCCCCTACTGACCCTGGGCCCTCGGGCAATGCCCGAGTTTCTGAATGGTCAGTCCGCCCCTGTTGGGGGGGGGGGGGGGGGGTCACAACATGAGGAACTGTATTAAAGTGTTGCAGCATTAGGAAGGTTGAGAACCACTGCTCTATAGTGTGTACTTGTCTCTCAAGCCACAGCACTGTCATTTCTGTCTGCTGCCTCATTCCTCTGGTATAGGCATGAGTCACTTCTGACAAGTTTGCCTGACACCACTGGTGACAGGGGAGGGCACAGTCTGTGATTGACAGCCTCAGTTCTGTTCCTGTGTGAAGGAAGTCTCTTCCCTCCAATCAGCTGAGAGTTGTCCTCACTGATGTAACTATCTTTCCACCCCCTGCTTTTCAGAGCCGAGATATCCTGTGTAAATTCTGCACTCTGAATGGATGTAGGGGGAAGACAGATGTAGATAAACAGGTACAACTTATGAAGGAGGATTTGTTTCATCTCTGTGTATCCTCTGAGGGCAGCCACTTCACTGGGGATATGTTATGGTCTACAACCACCTTAATGTGTTACGAAACCCACGACCCTGCATTCACTATATCTGGTCTCCCACAGTACACAAAACATGGAAATGCAATTATTTTAGTAACTATAAACTGCTAAATACCTTTTCTCATCAGCATTTAGAGCAGTCTTGTGACTTCTATCAGTGTCTAGCTGAGCACTGGTGAATCTTGTAGGAGGAGTTTTCATTCTGCTCTGACTGTCCTATGAGTCTGCATAACCTTTGACCCTCTGTCTGGATAGTGCTGATTGGCTTTGTGCTGATCACATGCACCCTCCCAAACAAAAAAAAACCTCTCTAGCAATAAACACCAAACTGAACATGTGCAAAGTGACTCCTAGAGCTCTGTACCATCAGCAGATAGATTGGGGACAGTGGAAGGGGAGGATCAGAGAAGACAGGAAATAAACAGCCTTTTTACACAATGCAGAGGATTAACCCCTTAGAGGTTCGTCAGTGAGTATAACAAGCATGCTTTACTGCATGATTTTACTGTTGTGGGTTTAGTAACACTTTAAGCTTTCAAGTAGTGACAGGGACATGTCATTTTTAGCAAGACGGACATGTATTTTCTGTAAATGCTAAAGATGTTTTTGAAAGAAAGTGAAAACGAATGCAGCCACCACATCTAAGAATAAGGGCTCTTGAACACAGGGCGTTCAGAAAACTCTTCTGAACGATGGAAACTGACTGCTGGAAAATGTAGGTTAAAAAAACATCAATTTGGCTGTGTTTATGTTTAGATGCGTTTTTAAAAGATAACTTCAGGAGACTCTCCCAAATGCCCAGAATGCGCTGAAAAATAGTAAATTAACTATTTCAGGCATTTTGAGAGGAAGAGAGAGAGCAGTATGTATTGAGATTACTTATCTTTTCTGGTTGTATTCACTATGGATCCCATCATGAGTATAATGCAGCATGTTCTACCATTTATTTCTTCACGCGAAACCTGGAACTGACTACGCTGGTGTACTAGGTCCATTTGAATACATGGAAAACGCTTTGCATGCATTCTGATGAAAAAAAGGCTCTGGACAACATCTGGACATGGAACAGTTAAAAAGCACTTCTAAGCGCAAACGCAGTTAACCGCATTTACAAGCATTTAGCATTTGAAACGCCGGTAAAATCTTTTTTTTTTTTTTTTTTTTTAAGTCCGCAAACGTGCAACTATAACGAAAAAACCCGTAAGTGTTCACAAAAAGTGCAAGTGCAAAACACCACACAAAAAGTGCACTTAAGGGTGTGCTTTGTCCTACCCCCGAAGGGGTTGGACCGTTACCCTGATCCCCCGGGGCACGAAGCTCCTGACAGGGACAAGGTTCCCATTTGGTCCTCCTGGCCAAAAGGCCTGGTGGACCACCGTTCCTTATGTCCAGCCTAAGCCGGACATCCAGTACTAGGCCAGGGGGTTCTCCCGAAGAGAAAACCCCCTAGGGACAGGGGAGGAAGGAACCATATGGCCACACATCCTCCCCCTAGACTTTAGGGCAGGCCCGAGGACCCACACCCTCCATCCTGTGAAAAAAAAAAAACACACACACAAAAGTATAAAGTGACAAACGTGGGGTGAAGGAAAAATAAATAAATAAATAAAATCTATAAAAATAATAAAAAGTGTCGTGCCCAAATTGTGCACTGACCAGACCCTGAGGCCTGTAGCAAAAAAATTGCCCAGAACTTGACCAAAAGGCCCGGTCCTAGAGGCGCAGTGCAAAAAGTATTTAAACTCGGTGACCATGTGCTCATTCACAACGTGGGGTCCCACACCCAAGTGCTACTCAGAGCACCCCTGAGGCGACTACTCAGGGGGCACCTAGTTTGCGGACTCTCTGCCTTCCCAGCCCCTGGCCAGACCAAGGTAGATCCGTCCAAATCAGGAGGTACTGGGTCCTTCAGACGTTCCAAAGGGGAATTACTCCCAGGGCCCCAGCTTAACTTTGTGGCGCTCCCGGTTTCTGTTCCCCCCATAATAGCCATCCAGACCCCCATCATACCAGTGAGGGTACTATACAACAACCATCCCCGCAAAGCTAGAATGGTCGGGAGCACCCCCACTGGACACTGATAAGAACAGATACTACACTTGATCTTAGCCAAAAGGCCGAGAAGCGATAAAAAGCGATAAAAACGCCGGTAAAATCTACTCCTGAACAAAATTTTGGTACGTTCAAATAAAACGACTGTAAACTCAACTTCCTGCAAACAACTATGTGTACATGGACACATAGGAAAACATTAGGGAGAGTTTAGGGGCAGCTGCAAAAAAAACGCTGAACAGCTCCTGAACGTCAGTTTAGCAGCTGCAGTGTACATGAGCCCTAAGCAAGCAGAAATATATTAAATTTTTGTTTGATATGCTTTAAGTAAAAAGGTAGAAAAAAAAAAACATTTTTTTTTAGAATGGGTAACATTTCACCAAGCAGATCGATAAAAAGGTAAATGAAATTATCCTGTTGTAGCTCTGCAAATCCCATTCACCAGCGTGGAGAGATAAACGAGACACCCCCTTCACAGATCTGATGTCTGCACAGAAAACACATGCTTCTGCGTAAACAGATCACTGGAAGAACCCAAAAGACATTGCTATATATGGCAGATATGTAAAAACAGAGCTTCAATTAATAGAACTTCCTTCAGATTGAGTAATACAACAGGAAACCCCACCTCCAACATTGCACCACTAGAAAATCCCCCTCCGAACAGATCTAGTATATTCTCTGCTAGAATCATCATTGCACTGAATGACGCCATGAATCATCACATAGCTTCCGATCTCCATTTCCTCCCATGTGTGACCTTCACTTGTCTGCT